ATCTTTAAAAGATGATGAAAACATTCTTTCTGTCATTGATGAAGAAAAGAAATACTTCAGTAATGATGTAAAAATAGAGCTACTCATTCATACTGAGAAACAGTTTGTGATCGTGATCTTGAGTTAAGCAGCTCTGAACCAAGCGAATACAGTCATAAATGGTGGCATATAATCTGCACCCGAGCCTGTTGGATTTGTTGTGAAAGTGTGTGAATGATTTCCTGTGGTTCCACAGAAAATACCTGCGCTTGAATCTACTGGGTCACTTGAAATATCATATCTATGCATTCCCTGTCTATCCGAACCTGCTGCAAGATTTGTATAACCTCTTTTTGTTATTGAATGTGAATGACTACCTGTTGTGTTTGTAGTTCCTGTATGAGTGTGCGGTGGAAGGTTTGCTTCAGTAATTTTCTTCGAACCTCCTGTTTGCTTTGAAGAGTTTGCACAGTATAAGAATTTGTCTACAATCTGCTGCCATGTACCAAAACCCAGAACTGTTTCTGGATTTGTTGAGTTCATTGACGTATAAATAGAACCAACAGGATATAATGTTTGAAGTATTTCTGTCTTTAATGTTTGAAGCTCTGTTTTGTCTGCTTTCTTGTCATATAAATCTTGAGCAGTGAATTTAATATTATGTTCATCCTTCATGACATAAACATCTTTACATCTAATGTTTCTCATCGTCGTTATGTCGTCATCCGATGTTAAACCTTGTGGAAAGTTAGGAGGTTTACAATATAATGTATCCCCACCAGTTTTTCAACCGTTCCTTCAATACTTTCTATAGCAACAGTTGAGAAGGATTTGTGTATGTTCTTTATGCTTTTTTATCTAACATTGTTGGTAGTTCATGTGTTTCAAAGTTTCTGACATGACTTCAATGTTCATACATTTGTTATTTAAGGAGTTTAGTGTATCTTTTACGCTTGTACTTGGATTCTCTAAAGGTGCACTTGAACCAAGGGTATAGTTCAATATTATGTCGTCTGCTCTTATTTTATTGATTATAACAGGTTTGTCTTCTCTTGAACGAATTGATTTAACTGTCAAAGGTTCAGTGAACTCATTATTTTTCAAAGGAATCAATGTTGTATTGATGTTTTCACCATTAATATATACTTCTTTTGCATCAATACCAGATGGGAATGAAACTCTTTCATTAACTTTAACTGTTGTACCATCACCTGGGTACATATCTTTCTCTGGACCTTTGATTGTCTTAAGTATGACAGACTGTGATAAAGTATATTCTTTAGATGCAACTTTACGTATCTCTTCGTCAACATAACTTTTGTCAGCTTTGTCTGCAATCTTAAGTGCAGTTCTTCCTCCATTATTTTTGTTCTCCTCAACTTTCTTCGCTAATTCAGCAAGAATGAGATAAAGATAATCAGTAAGGTCATCAGTACCAGACATATTAATATTATTGTTCTTTCTTGATGTATTAGCAACTTTCACTAAGGTCACAAAATCAGGGTACAAAGTACTTAACGTAGAAATGATTGTTTTTGGTCCAGGATCTTTCTCTTCTTCATCATTAGCATCACGTGGCATTGGAATTGGTTCCAAAGGTCCAGTCACATCAAAACTCTCAAGTTCCATATAACCTTCATTTCTGAATCTTTCTATATGAGTTATCTTCTGGAAACTTGTTTTAGTCTTTTCAACTAAATTTTTTATTCCATCCACAAAACCTCCTTTATGATTTGGACCAAGATTACCCAGAGTGTCAAGAACAGTATCTATACCTTCTTGACTTTCAACAAAAGCCCAAAGAGCATTTATTTGACTCTGGAGTGATATCCATGAGGCTGCAGTAGCACCGGCGTTTGCTATGGCAAAGATGAATGATAAAGGGTTGAACTTAAGACCAGATTCTTTATCTTTGACAATTTCAACGAAGTCATTGATATTTTTCTTCAAGTATTCCTTAGTCAGAAGAACTCCATCGCCAGCTATACCAGTTGCTTTTGTCTTTCCTTTAACATCAAATGTGATTGGTTTCTTCAATAAAATAACTTCTGGTGTTGTACTGATGCTATCATTAGTGGAGAAAAATTCTCCGACATGACTTGCTAAGTATTCTTTCGTCAATAATGTTCCATCACCAACAATACCAGTTGCTTTTGGACCATCTTCTGTGAATGTCAATGGTTTCTTTAACATAACTTTATCTAAGTATATTGCAATACCACTATTTTGTACTTGTTCATGACCTAATATATAAGCAAATGCTGCGTTTAAAGCATTATACAATGTATCTTCTTTAAATGTTAATTGACTGTTTTCAATCATTGGTATATTGAACAGTGTAGACCTTGGGTCAAAATGAACTCCATGGTCAATCGATAATAACCGTTTAACATGATATATTATAGTCTCTAATGCTTCATTAATATTTACCTCACGAGTTTCTTGCAAACCATTACTCGCCATACATGAAAACATATAATCTCTATCAGTTGTGAAGAATGGAGCATCTAAGTAATTATTCTCTACTTTTGTCACACGATTCTGTAACGCTTGAAGGTATTGATTTAAGTCTGTTTCAACAATTGTACCATCTGGTTGCTCGATAGGTAATATACCAGGACCGATGGTAATGTCTTCATCAGCACCTTCTTTATGTATGACTAAAGCATTATCAGTAATTCTGAGAGTATATTCTTTATATTGAAGTACGCTAGACTTATAACATTCATATGCATATGGAACAACACTCATTCTTTTACTACATATAAAAATGATGTATTATCTACAATCGACTGATCCTAATAACTACGGGACAATACAGTTTCAAGCAGATCCTAACATGGGGCATCCAAGTAAGATAAAGATGAGAGTAAAAAGTGTCAGTACTATGGCGAACTTTATTGTTTGTGACGAAACAGATTATTTTGTCTTACAGTTAGACGAAGATGGAGAAGAAAAGGTGTGTACATTTAAGTCAGCTCTTTCATTTGATATGGATACTATTGTATCAAAACTACAAGAGATTGTAACAAAACAGTTTGATTATTATAACAAGAAAAAAGGTCAACATAATGTAACAGTTTCACTGAGTGCTACGAATCAACTTATATTTACGTCACAGGACAAAGGACATAAAGTCTATTTAAAAGATGCTTCACATAGAGCAAATCTTATTTTAGGTGCATATGGAATAGAACTACCTATTGTACATAATTATTATCTACAAATGCCAAAACCACCTATGCTCAACTTCGGGTATCAGTTATACCTTCGTTCATCAATGTCTGTCATCTCTGGGTTCAATAATATTGACCAAGTTGATGATCGAAGAAAGATCATGTACAGATCTACATGTTATAACATCAATGAGTTCTGGATATCTGGTAAACCACTTATATGTAAGGAATCCTCACCATGGATAGATGCATTTCCATGGGAACTAACTAATGTTACGTTTACCTTAGTTGACTTCCAAGATCAGCCTGTTCGATTATTGTCACCAATGTTTATGGTGATAGAGATTAAACCAGATAAGCCAGAAGTTAGAGAAACCAATGATGTCAGTGATGATGATACAGAATCTTCGTACGATTATGATTACGATGACGATTAAAAAAAATAACGTATATTTTTTTATCGGTTATAAAAGACCAACATGCTCAATGCTATAAAAGGATTAGTTAATAACCTTTCACCAGAAGATAAGAAAGGTATGCTTGATATGTTTGGGATCAAAATGCCTAAGAAAGCTAAAGACATTACCAATAAATTAGCTCTGGCAATTAAGAATCAAGGAGGTACAGGAAGTGTAGCAGATATTTTCAAGAATGCTAAGAGCTTCTATGATGACTACAATGGTATCATGAATGTTCCAGCTTCAAATTCCCCAGTTGCTTTAGATCACGATCAGAGATCTCATAATAGAGCGTTAATGGAGATGCAACCAATATACTCAGACCCTCCACCAAAGATTGATGAGAGCGAATTAGCATACAAAGAAATACAGAATGCCTTTTACGTTGTTAAGAACATTAATGGTCAAAAACTTCCTGATGAGAAATGGTTAGACCCAATAACTAAAGCAGGAGAAAGATTCATTATGTTTAACATTGACCAATACAGTCCAAGAGGAAAAGATTACTTCAACAAGATGTTTCCAAGAGTTATGGCAAAGTTCATTGGACAGATAGACCTTTTCAAACAGAAGTGGACATTCTATTACGACTTTGATGAGAAGAGAAACATTTTGCGTCATTTGAACATCAATACAATGGGATCATTAGTTCATCAGTTACTTAATGAAGCTCCAATAGCAGAAGTACAAGAATTAGCATCTAAAGTCCTTGAATCAAACTATGACTTCTTCCTTTGTAGTATTCCTTCGTTAAGGAAGATCGAGATCTTTGACTATACAGCTTATTCAGATGTTGATGCTTCTGCTTTGAGAAAAGGAACGTACACACCATATAAACTCACAGCTGAAGAACAAGTTATGTTAGATACGATGAGAGCAGCAGGTCAAGAAAAGATCGCACTCAAGATCATCAAACAAAACCATTCAAAGAAGAGAAACAGGTCACGTAATGGTCAGCTTTGGACATGGACATGCAAATTACCTATTAACTTAGAGAGGTATCAGATCTTCAACGAACTTAATGCAGAGACAGCAAAGAAGATGATGAAAGATTCATGTTTCATCTACGCTTGTATTCAAGCTGGTGTTGACGAAGCAACAATTAATCATATGAGGGAAATCATTCGTGTCAAAGATTTTCCAATGTCAAAGATTAAGGTTATTGCCAAAGAAACAGGAATAAGGTTCCATGTCATCAAATACAACGAGAAGTATTCAAATCATTCATATACTTATGAACCAGATGAAGAACCAAAGATGACAGTAGAACTTTTATTAATGTATGACCACTACATGTTGAACGAAAAGCTTCCAATAAGTTCAATGTTCATCAAGAACTATGAAGATGTTTGTAAGTTGTGCAAGGATTGGACTTTAGAGAAGAAGATGTTAGTTAACAGAAGATATGAAACAAGGTATGCAATTAACTCAAAGTTAGTTACACCACTTGCAAAAGTCATTGAACTCTTGTTTGCTAACAATTATTTCGAACCAATTAGAACAGGAGAACTTTGCACATACTTCACAACGATGTATAATGAGAACCTTGAAGAAATGATTGACCTCACATACAATGAGCGTTATTGCGCAAGGATGAAGAAAGATTGGAGTTCAGAGACGAAGAAAGACATGAAGTTCCCAAGAGAACATGTTTTCTTTGCTGACTTCGAAGCATCAACTGATGGAAACATTCACAAAGCATACAACATTTGTTTCATGGAAGATGACGATGATGGTTATACATCAATTTGGGGAAGTGACTGTGCGTCAAAATTCCTCGAAGCTTTACCAGATAAGAGTTTAGTTTATTTCCACAACTTATCGTACGATGTCACTTTTCTCATGTCTCAGTTAGAAGAGATTACAGGAACTCCAATCATCAAAGGTTCACAAACGATGCAGATACAAGGAAAGTACAAAGGAAAACTTCTCTGCTTCAAAGACTCTTATGCAATCATCTCAACTAAGTTGGAAAGATTCCCTGAAATGTTTCACCTCACTAGTGGTGAAAAAGAAGTTTTCCCATATAATTACTACACGG